TTAACTAACACTAACTTCAGCTAATGCTGACTTTAGCTAACACTAACTTCAGCTAATGCTGACTTTAACTAACACTAACTTCAGCTAATGCTGACTTTAGCTAACACTAACTTCAGCTAATGCTGACTTTAACTAACACTAACTTCAGCTAATGCTGACTTTAGCTAACACTAACTTCAGCTAATGCTGACTTTAGCTAACACTAACTTCAGCTAATGCTGACTTTAGCTAACACTAACTTCAGCTAATGCTGACTTTAACTAACACTAACTTCAGCTAATGCTAACTTTAACTAACACTAACTTCAGCTAATGCTAACTTTAACTGACACTAACGTCAGCTAATGCTGACTTTAGCTAACACTAACTTCAGCTAATGCTAACTTTAACTAACACTAACTTTAGTTAGCACTAACTTTAACTTTAACTAACAGAGTTTAACTAACACTAACTTTAACTAACAGTATAACTAACAGTTTAACTAACAAACTTTAACTAACAGTTTAACTAACACTAACTTTAACTAACAGTATAACTAACAGTTTAACTAACACTAACTTTAACTAACAGTATAACTAACAGTTTAACTAACACTAACTTTAACTAACAGTATAACTAACACTAACTTTAACTAAGTCTAACCTTAAGAAACTCTTCCCATGTGTTGTGTCAGCTGGGACTTCAGGCTGCTTGGTAAGCTCAGGACAAACGTCAGTTTTTCTCTCCTGACTTGAAGCACAGAGTAGRTCTGCTGTTCAAACTCACATCTTATTTTAGTTTGCACGACTTCTAAACGTGCATCGTGGCCGTGCACACACCTCACACCTCCACAGCCCCCACACTTTTAAAACTGTTCAGATCTCCAGAGACGAAGCCGTCCATGAGACTCTGAGAGGAAACAGAAACATGTTCTGGACACATTTGGTCTTTGAAAAGTAARATTTATAACAATGGTTTAACTGTTTGATTTATTTTATAGTAAATCAAACTTTGCTCCTGATTGGATAAAAAAGTAGCTGAAAAATTAAATAAATTCTAATATTTAAACATCAAAGAGCTCAGACCTGTCCTCAGAAAGATTCAGATCTGTGTTGAAGCAGGACGTCCATCTGAGGGTCTTCCTGTCTCCTTCAGGGACAGACTGAGGACAGACCGGACTAAGACCTGCAGGATTTCAGACTCTGACCCGTCTCAAAGTGTTGTTTTGTGTCTTTTTGTCTCTTTCAGGGACGTGAAGCCCGACAACATCCTGTTAGATGAACAAGGTGGGGACATTAATCTTTTATGTTTTACTTGTTAAAACCAAAGGTCAAAGGTCAAAGCCAACCTGAAGGTTTGTTCTGATTCAGATCAAACATCAGCTGATGGATCAGAGCACAGTTCACCTTCCTGTGATTCTTTAATTTACATCCTCTGACAGAAAACTACAGATAACTCCTTCATCTGACAAATAATCACTTTATAAAACTATAAAAAACAAATAATCAGATTCTAAATCAGATTAATGAGTCAGAAACACGACTTCTGATTCAGTCTTTGTCTCCTTAGGCCACGCCCACCTGACTGACTTCAACATCGCAACGATCATCAAGAATGGAGAGCGAGCCACAGCGTTAGCCGGAACCAAGCCTTACATGGGTACTGTCAGACCTGCCTCGGATCAATAATTTATATCAACCAGAACACCAGCAGTGGGTCCAGCCAGGTCTGAGACCCAGGTCTGAGACCCAGGTCTGAGACCCGGGTCAGAGACCAACGGTTTGACTTGGCTAAGAGTAATTACGCTGACCGCAACTGGCCCACTAAGCAAATAGGATTTTTAAATTACAAACTGTTTGGATGAAAAGAGACGTTAGCCGAGAGTCACCAGACCACCCCTCACATGGGGGGATCACACCTCGCC